GTGAAAATTTAAAATTACTCTTAAAATTTATTCCAAACGCATAAACTGGGTAATTGACCTTCACTTACCTTTAAAGGAATTGTAAACAAATCAAAAATATAAAATTCGAAAGAAAAATTAATAAATTATGTCAATTTCATTATTGCCTATAAGCGAACAATACAAAAATATAAACTTTTATATGATATTAAAATGCAGGGCACGTAAATTAACCCATTTCGCTGCTCTGCACGCAGCATTAAAAAATCTGTAATAGTAAATTTAATAGTTGATTTGTGATGATTCACACTGAAAATTAAAGACAATAAATTAATAAAACATTAAATTGCAATTTGATTAAATGTTTGCAAATTCAAATAAATAAATTATCTGGAGTACAACGTACTTAAGGCATTTGCTTATTCGCCCCATTATGTCATAAAACAAATGCCTTTCGTACACCGTTCACACTAGGAATTCCCCAAGGCTGGAATTAAAGCGATTTGTGGTTGCTTGCACTTTCAATAGAGTTGCTCAACTATGGTTTGTCAAGAATAAACTAAAGATATATGATATAAAAGAAGCACTGCAATAGGTAGTATAGACTTTAATGTACGCTATAATAAATGTCTATTATATACAAAAAATGTACATACGTATGGTTCCTGTTTTAGATTCTTAATAAATGAGATAATATACTCGAACATACATCGACTACGATAGTAGTAGTCAATTTTTTGCCTTCTGTACTCATCGCGAAGTCATTCACAGCATCGAAAACATCCCGGTTGACCTGGCTTTTATACAAGAGTGCAGGGAACTTAATTGTACCAACTGCAAGTAATAGTGCTTTCAGAACACAAGTATATAGAATCACATTCTGGATTATTGTATCTAAGATGAAGAAGAGATAATCACACACTTTCTTTATGATTGCCCTTTGTAAGCTTTGGCTTACAAAAGGAAAAGATTGTTAGGAAAGGACTTTCAGGGAAGTATAAATATTTATACTACTTCTATAGATTGACTAAAATTGGAACTTGTGTAATTTTAATATATCAAAATTAAATAAAATGTTAGTAAATTTATAACCTTTTTGAATATATACATATATGTATATTAAGGTTCTTTATGTTAGGTTGTTTTTGAGAATGAAGTAAGCGCCTATAAATCCGGAGAGCTAGCTGACTTAGCACAGAGTTTAATCATGGATTTTGTTGTATCTTTTAGATTGTTTGATCCGTAGCGATTGGATTATATATTTTATATCAAAACAGAAACGTAGTTCGATGAGTGACAAGTCTTCTGTTCTTCTTCCTTGATTGATTAAACGCGAGTTAGTCTCTGAAGCACTTCTATTTAATAATGTCTGTGAGCATTTACATGATCCGCTGTATTAAGAGTTCTGTTGAATTTTAATAAGTTATTCACACAATTTTTTACAAGTATACTTTGAAGCCCAGCATATCTTCCTGATGGAATATATATTAATTTTGATTTTAGA